AGAGCGGCTGTCTTAACTCGACCCACTCAAGCGGCAACCTAATTCGATGCGTTCAACTTGGGTCGAGCGCTGTTAAGAGGTTGGTAGTTTTCATGTAAGGCGGTCTCGTTTCTTGTGCGAGAAGTTCGTGCTTGACAGGAACAATTTGCTGCTCGTGCAGAGTTGAAGTAGACGATCTCCGCGGTTCGTCCGGTTGGCTGGGATTGCATGTGATCCTCCAAGAAGCCTTTCTGATTCGTCCAGGTATTCCACTTGAGCATTGAAGTCTCCGGCGACTACTACGACATCTGTTGATTGAACACTTTGGAGTATTGAGAAATATCCTTGTAGAATTCGTCCTTGATTTCAGGTGTAGCAATCGGTCGGTGCATACACCTATATGACGAATAAGCATCGACGCTTCGTTCTGTAGCTGTTGACCTCAATTGAACCGTTGAGACGTACAGCTCACAGTCGGCTACTGACTGGAATCCAGTCAGGAATCAAGCGCTCAGCCTTGGTAATTGGCGTAATCCAAACGCCAGCAACACCACGAGCTTCGCATACTGAATCGCCTGATACACGAAAAGTGAAGCCTGAGGTTTAGGTTGGGTTAGAAGAATACATGGAGATAATTGAAGTAGGGTCTTGTATGCCTGTTTCGGAGACACAGCATACATCTAAATTGAACGTTTCAAGGGTTCTTGTCAGGGCAACTTGTTGACCAATTTGAAAGTGTTCGGACATTGAGCGCGGCTAAGTAAAAAGAGAATTTTGGCTTCAAAAATCCTGTAACTTCTGGTTGTTTGACCCTGCTGGTAGAATTTTGAGTGATATTCGATCGGTGGCATAAACACGAGGCATCTGGGATTATTCGGGATCGACAGGAAGAACTAGATAGATCGAAAGAGGTTTTTCCAAATGGGTGCCTAAGACTTTGGGGTACGACATACTTCTTGGCAGCCCACACCGACAGTGCTCGGTCAGTTTGGCTTTACACCTGTGAGACCTTAAATCTGCGGGTAGAAGTAATCCGCCTCTTGGTTTTTATACCGTCATGTCAAGTCTTATTTCAACAACTCTACGTTTTTAACTGATCACCTGCCTCGGCGAACAACGCATACCTTGGCAATCCATTTGATGACATGCCTCAGACAACGCAGTCTATGAAGATTGACCATTTTCTCCAATGGACGAGCGTGATGACCTAAAGCTCCGCCTAATTTCAGTACTGCTTGTTCGGTTTTCCCACCGGACTCGTGCAATGCGGCGTAGACTGAGGTGTTCTATCACCGAGTCTATTTCTCTCCTGTTGCTGTAACGGTCAATTCTTCGCACCGCACAGCAGGACTACTGGACGAATTGCTGCAGCATACACTCAACCATTTACAGACAACCAGGTTTTACGACGGCGCCGCAGATGTCCTAAGTCGGCAAATTCCACTCGAGCCTTCTGTATGCGTACCGACACTTGATCCGTTGGCACTTTAACTTATGGTCTTAGAATCGACCAAATAGATTCAATGAGGTTTTTTAATTATGCATTTTATTGNGAGGTTTTTTAATTATGCATTTTATTGCCTCGTAAATACAGCCAGTTGGGATGCATGTGGTGATGGACGACTAGGCCTCGGTGCCGCAGCGCACACAAACAACCGTTGATGAGTACCCACTTGATAAATGCAGCTTCACTTTTGCAACTCTACATAACTTCCACGCAATGTTGATCTATTGATGTTAATCGTCAACAGACTTAAAAGCATTTGCTTTAGAGCTGTCGTGCTCATTCGGCTTACATTACCAGGCTCGTTAATCAGGGACTGAGACCAAAAATACGTGTTACCATAGCGTCTTCCACGCATTATTTATTAACCGCCCTGTGTGTTCGCTCATTTGAACTACCAGACTTGATGGTAGATTAAGTTTCAGATATACGATTCTTATAGCGGTGTACTATGAAAGCTCTATGCAATCCGCATTGGTAGAGGAAAAATAATGTTAGGTGTGCTCTGAACTGTCCTCAAGCTAATCGTGTAGGACTGGCATCATTTAATTCGGTATTTTGTTTATCTGTTGGTGTGTTAGTGGTGTTTGTTGCCGGGTTCAATACTATGCCTATCCTTGGATGCTTCGCCAGGTCTTAATTTACCGGTTCACATAACTATACAGGTCTTCGTACCAACACACGGATCACTCCTCTTCGTCACATCACGATGTGCAATAAATCGATGATTTCTTTCAGAGGTACAAGAAATCCCTTGATAGCCAGGTTTTTACTTCATGTAATAAAACGAGTAACTCACTGGTCAACACGTGAAATCGCCTTATGAACCCCTCCGATTATTTTACTCCATTAATTCGTATGCTCAGAGATTAATATTTCATCATTTCTGACGACTTTACCATTCCTTTATATGTTTTGTTTCACTATGTTTATAACTCTTAGATATTTGGGTTGTGTAGAAATCAATTTTAGAGTTTGCAATAGACTGTCGCTGGGTTTTTAGCAGAAACAGCTGTTTGAAATCCGTTAAACTGCGCATCGTTTCATTTTTCATGTCCTGACTTTTCAATAACCATTTTCATGCTTTTCTTCTTCCACTATGCAGCCACCTAGTTACCAGTCTGGCAAATCCCCTGGCATGCAAATTAGAAGAATGGCGTCGTACCTTAACTCAACTCGAGAAGGACCGAACACGCCAGACTAAGCGTGCTCGCGCCGAACTCAAACGCGCTGTTTCGGAAGCCAGCCGCTGGCAAAAGAAGGCTGCCAAATGTGGTACTTCAACCGCAAACCTGGCTCCCGGCGTTGGACATGGCATTTTGCCGAGTTCTGCTGCGGTTGGCTCTAAGGCTGGCGTAGTGGCTGCACAGGCTGCCAATGCAGCACGTGAAGTACAGTGTAAAACCGAACAGGTCGAAGCCGCTGAGAAATCGGCCGTGCGTTCTCTAATGCTTGAGGAACGTGGACGATTTTGTTTTTTCCTATCCTGCTTACTACCAGTATTGGTAAGTGACTCACCCAATGGATATCCAGTGGTGTCGTGCTAATCTCAGTTCTTTATTTCCGAAAACATCTGAACTTTGTTTCAATTGATGACCATACTTTGATGTGGTAGGTTTCGTGGTTTTACCTCAATGAAGCATCATTTGAACGAGCTAGACTCGAATTGAACACTGTTTCTTACGTACACACAACATTCTCGTAAACAGCTCCATACTGTGTGTGAACTTGACCAAAGTTAACCGACCATCAAAGAGTTGAATTACGACTGGAGCTCAGGAAAAAATAGAATTGATGTAAAAATTGCATCCGAAACGCTGCATTTACACTAAAACGGCAGTAA